TAGTTAACAATGAACAAAAGAGGGCTAACATAAAGCAAAGCTAAGCTGTGAGCAAGAGGCAGGCCCCAGCTCACAGAACTTGGCACGAACAGAGCTGAAAGCACAAAACACTAATTGATGCTAGGTACTGACTGCAGAACAATAATTGGTACTGGTCATAAGTGGAAAGCACATGATATCACTAGCTCATTAAAAAAGACCTTGGTACCCACTCGTCTCAGATACAGACTCAGGTCCCAGAAAGGGTCTAAAATGGCAGAATGATGGCTAGAGATATCTAATCAAACCATGAGGTACAGGGTGATGGGTGGTATCTAAGTAGCATCAGAGAATGGCACCCTGATACATCAGCAGTGAGGTGTGACTTGTTGTACCTGTATATAAGGTGGTGTCTTGGGGGACAGCCTTTGAATGGCCTAGGGAGCAGTGGGACCTCCCACTGATTGAGTCATTCCATTGTGGCAAGTGGTTCAACAGAATCTACTGGCAACTATGACAGTACTTCGCTCTACAATAAACCTGGCCTGGCACCTTCGATCCTTATCTGCTTTGTGGTCTTTGGGGCTCTTTTGTGGTCAGCTGTGGAGACTAAGTGCACAAGTCGACGCGACACATCACTGAGCGCACACGCAAGCAGCCTTCTGGTTATTCTCCACAGACCAGAGACCTGTGAGGACACCTCGGCATTAAATCCTGACTGGCCCTCCCTGAAGAACTACAACCCTCACTCTGACTGGTGACAGACACATTGGACCTGGGGTGGGGAGCCCATCTGGACAACCTCAGGACGCAAGGACTCTGGTCACCCATGGGCATGAGCCTTCACCTCAGTGTGAAGTAACTGAGAGAGGTCAGATTGGCATGCTGGATGCAGGGCCAGTACATATTGGTGTGTATGGACAATATGACCGCAAACAAGGGGGTGCAAGGTCATCTCACCTATGCAACAAGACATAGAGGCTATGGCACTACTGTGTGAAACACAGAATTCACCTTGAAGCCTGGTATCTCCAAGGACTGCAAAACACATTGGCAGATGCACTCAGCAGGACCTTTATGGTCCATGAGTGGTTGGTCAGGGAAGACATGATGAAATCAATCTTCTGCAAGTGGAGGACTCCCTGCCTAGACTTGTTTGTCTCCCCAAAAACAAAAAAAGACCTAGCCTTTGTTCAGTCCAGAATCCCTATCTAGTATAGTGGGTCTGGCCTACGAAAGCTCATCAGCTAATAAACCATCTTGTAAGTCTTTAAAGTGCTGCATAGTCCTGTCTTTTGTTTTAGTATCCATAGGAGACACATTAGCTCTCTACTGGGGGGAGGCACCTCTTATATGCATTTCCTCCCGATTCCCCTAGTACATCGGGTCCTTGTGAAAGCCAGAGGGACAGGGCTCATCTAATCATGTTGGCACCAGCATGTCTGTGCCAACACTGGTTCTCCACCCTACTCAACTTGTTGATGGAAACCCCAATACTGTTTCCTCTCCTGCCAGACCTCCTGACGCAGCATTAGGGATGCATCAAGCAACCAGATCTGCGCTCACTCCATCTGATAGCATGAAAGCTGGATGGTTTGATTCGTTAGAGCTTCAGTGCTTGGCCCAGGTATAGCAGGTCCTATTGGGCAGTAGAAAGCCCTCTACCAGAGTGGCATATTTGGCCAAATGGAAATGGTTTTCCAGCTAGTGCAAGGAGTAGAATGTGTCCCCAGGGCAGGTACCTATCCTGGTAGTATTGGAGTACCTGTTGTATCTGTGATCACAGGGGCTGGTGCCCTCCTCAGTCAAAGTTCATTTAGTGGCTTTATCCACCTTTCACCCAGGTTGTTCCCAGCATTCCCTATTCAGCCACCCCATGCTGGCGTGGTTCAGAAAGGGGTTGTACAGGTTGTACCAGTATTGTCATCCTCCTGTACCTGCTTGAGACATGAACCATGGTACTCAATAAACTTTTTGGTCCACCCTACAAACAGATGGCTGTGCTCTTTGCTACATCTGTCTATGAAGGTAGCTTTCCTGGTAGCTGTCACACCAGCAAGACGAGTGTCTGAGTTAAGGACCCTATCCTTAGAACCACCATGCACAGTTTTCCACAAGTACAGAGTACAGCTTAGGCTACACCCAGCTTTCCTGCAAAAAATGGTCTCCCAATTCCACCTGTCACAACTGGTCTTCCTTCCAGTTTTTTATCCTAAACCTCATACTAGTGATAGACGGGGGGTATTGCATACATTAGATGTAAGGATTGCTTTAGCCTTCTCCATAGACAGCACTAGGTCATTTAGGAGACCCACACAGCTGTTTGTGGCAACCGCGGAGCATATGAAGGGGAACCTGGTATCCACACAGTGCATCTCTACCTGGATAGTGCGGTGCATAAGCACCTGCTATGACCTAGCTGGGGTTCCTCTCCCGCCAGTCGCAGGCCACTCATCCAGGGCCTAACCTTCATCTGTGGCCTTTGTGGCACAGGTTCCCTTGCAGGAAATCTGCAGGGCAGCTACTTAGTCTTTGAGTCACATGTTCACAGCCCATTATGCAATTGATCAGTCCTCCAGGGAGGACGCAACAGTTGGTAGAGCAGTCCTGCAGTCTGTGATTCCAAATGCTGACTCCACCTCTGTGGGGTAGCAACTTGGGAGACACCTGAATTAGAATCGATGTGAACAATCAAAGAAGAAAAGACCGTTACCTGTTCTCGTACTGGTGTTCTTCAAGATATGTGGTGTTCATGTCCATTCCAATCCCACCCTCCTTCCCCTTTGTCGGAGTAGCTGGCAAGAAGGAAATGAGGAATGGTAGGGTCAGTAGTGATATATACGTGCTGATATAACAGCACCACTCTAGGGTGCTCCACAGCTTACCCTAAGGGAAAAGTTTCTAATGTTCATGCATGCAGCATGCATACACATGAATTGGAATGGGCATGAACAACACATCTCGAAGAACACCAGTTATGAGAACAGGCAACTCTTTTCTTGTGCCCATATGTCAAGATGATCCTCACAGTTGAATACCAGGTTTGCTACCTGCTGATGCCAACTCATTAAGAGATTTTGTGAACTTCCTCCTTACTATTCTTCATGCTGTTTTTTCCCCAGAACTCTACCTTCCGTGACAGGCCTTATTGGGCACTGCTGGTGCCATATGCCCTTTTTTTGCACCTGATAATATTTAAATTACCAAATTCATTATTTTTAACAGCAGTGATTCCTCCAGCATCTGACATTGTTGAATAAGTCTGTTAAAGCAGATGGCTGGAAAAGCTGTGACCACTGTAGGAGTGAGCAATTTACATGATACACTGCAGGCATTCACTGAATAAATGACAAGCTTATCATTGTGCTGATTGTTCACTAGCCCTGAAAAAGTGCACAGCTAGTCAAAGGAACACAGCGCTGCCTTATCCTTTATTTGCTACAATATCTCCTTTCACATGAAGTAGTAGTAGGGAAGAGAAAGCAGTTTGTGTTTCTTCCAATAAGGCTTACCTGCATCAGGACCCATGTTGTGATTAAGGAAGAGTATGATCAAATTGGATAAAATATGATGGACAGCATATTGCAGTTATGCTGTAGATTCTAGAAATAACTGTTAATGGAATCCTTATACATGAACTGAAAACCAGTAGTTTCTTTTGAAGAATGTACTTTGAAACATGGCTCTTTAGAAATGGTAGTGTGTTGCTCCATGCTTCTGGCACAATTTCCATATCATGTATTTTTAATTTAGAAATAAACTTTGAAAACTCAGCCATTCTTTTTGCATCATCACCAGTAACAGAAATTTTGCAGGCCAGATGAAGCACACAATGAGACTTGCGCAAATCCACTGCCTTCATTAGGGATGTCAGGGTGAAACTGACTGACTGCTTATTAAAGAAGTCTTTTAATGATAGAGACCAGTTTTGCACAGTTAGGACAATTCCATTTTAGTATAGTCACATTCTAGAATAAAAATATGTTTTAAAAATGGGAAGCTTTTATAATATTTTCAGCAGTGGACATCACCAACTATAATTAAATTTGTGGTACTATCTTTCACAGATAGTGTACATAAAAATGTATATTCATCTTATTTGTAAAGCAGCATAGGATTATAATAATAACTTGCTCTCCAGTGGGAAAATAAATTATAAAAATACTCTCGCTGAATCAGACTAAAGCATCTGATCTGTACACTTTATTCAGCAACCAGAATTCCTAATTCTTTCTGGATACCATTCTGTGCATTGTAATGTCTGATTTCTAAAATGTCAGTCCCCCTCTATGGCTCCTCCCCACAATGTTGTTCACAAGCTAAACGAAACAAGCAAGTGTTAATAATGGACCTTGGCCCTGGGATGTGAACTTTCCCACTGCAATGTCCATTTCTTGCCATGAATTTATAAGGATTTGCTGATGCAGAAGAACTAAGCAAATGTCAGAGTTTTTTTTTAAACTGAGGATGGAATGTTTTAAGTAGGCAAAGCTTTTGTTTTTTGTAAAATTGTTACTTTTCATCACTGTTTTTCAGGGAAATAGGTATAATATCAGCATTTAATTATGTTGGTTTCATTTACATTAGATGTCATTCAAGTAGTTAGTTGTGATTTTGGAAGCAGATAATGCTGGTAGTACCTGTTCCCCCTGTATTATCTGATATCTGAGACTTCCTCCATTCTGCTAATCAAATGCAATTTACTTTTGATGGTTTATCAGCCTACTAGCTCTTATTTTTCTCTTCACAAAGGTTCTGACTTATGAAGCATAAGGCCACAGATGATAAATCATGGACACCAGTTTTCCAATTCTCTCACTAGTTAACATGCAAAACATGGAGGGTTTGAGCAAAACCTAAAGTCCACTCTGTTTCTGATGAGCTGGGGTGATGATGTTAAATGAAAATACAAACTGCATCATGTGGTTATAGGAGTCAGCTTCCACAAAGCTGCTGGGGCTGGGCTTCTGTACACACAGACATTAGACATCCTTTGTTTTGCCCCTCCTTTTCTTCTTCAGCAGTCATTCAATGACAAGCGTAAAAAGAACCTCTTTTCCCGAAAATTTCCCTTCTACAAGAACAAGGACCAGAGTGAGCAAGAAACCAGTGATATTGACCGTAAGTATGTGGAATCCAATGGAGAAACACACACACACACACACACACACACACACACCCCAAAAGGCCTGCTAGCTTGTAGTAGGGTGTTACCTTGGAGACAGTTTCAAGAGCTGCAACAGGTTAATAGAACTCAATGTGAATGACAAAACAATCTTTTAAATCAGTATATTGATTCATGTGCTTTTACAGTGCATCCTAACTGTTCTTGGACTCCAAGAGCAGCCTTATTCATGATGAACTGGATGGCACTGTGGGATAATAACTGTGTGTGCAATTGAAGGTGATAACTAAGTTCTGTTACTCTCATCATAATATTCTGTGTCCGTAACTTCATAAAAAGAGTGCACAGTTATAAAACTGTTACTTGGATTATACATTAACTATATACCAGGCATTTTAGACTGGTTTTTTGAAATTTCTTCTGTTCTAACCTTTCATTTTAACACTGTCTTCATTTTTAGGGTGTTTCCTTTTAATTATTTATTACTTTTTTCCCCTGATGGAAGCATCTTTGAAACAAATTTTATATTTATAATAAAAATAAAGTCAATTGTTCAAATCTTTGCATACCATAAGCTGCCCCCCTGCCTTTTGCACCACTGATAATACTTCAGCTGCTAGGAGCTGACTGAAATTTCCGTAGAACTATCATTCCCTGTAATGTTCTTGAAACTGTCTCTTATCGTAGCGCCAGTTTTATACATTACTGACAGTTATTTTTCTTTTGTGATTATCTTTTTATTGCTTGCCCTCTGGGGACTACTCTACAGGAGATCCCTGACGACATGGGATCAAAAGGCCTGAGTAAGTTATAAAAACTCCCAAGTTATATTTAACCTCCATCTGCAAAATTAACTTTTATCAATCCATTTTGAGACTGGTGATATTGCTCTGCTGATATGAGGAGGTTAATTATTTCACACTTGAATAGAATTTTATTAATTTGTAATGTTCTTGGGTTTTATCTTTTAATATCTTTCTACTTCATTTAATTCAGGTGACAGTCACATTTTATTTTTAGTTGAGAAGCTTAGCCTCCTGTTCTGTATGCCACAGATAATGGCTGCTGTCTCTGAACTAGTTAGTGCATGTTTTCTAGTGTGTCATTCTTATATTACCTATACCTTTCATTTTTTTTAAAAATACAGTGTTCTACAACTATGATCCACGCCATTGCAATAATGTTTATTTGCTTTGTTTCTTTCAATCTTTAGTGTAGGATATTCTGTTTCAGTGGCTGCTATTGCTAAATGTATTTTAAAATTAGCAGCAGTTCATACAAAGCTTTATCTGTTTTATTTCATGAAAAATATTAATACTGGGGATGCTAGATAAGCAGTTCTGGATAAGTAATGCCCATGTTATAATTTTGCTTTGTAATTTAAATTCCAATAAGTTTTAAACCTTACCAATAGTTACTCAAGTAAAAAGTTGACCTCTATGTATAGTTGTCTATGTCAGGGCTACTCAACTTTAGAAGCCCTGGGGCCCACAATGATACTTTCAGCACATGCTGAGGGCCACAACTTAAGTGTGGTTGCATATATATGCAAATAGCTTCTTTCACACTGATGGGCATGAATACAAAGCACTCCCAGCATCTCCTCCCGGGGCGTTAAAAATGCTGATACCCTGTACACATCTGTTCCAGCCAGCCCATCCGCTTGCATCTTTAACTGTTCACCCCGCCTGGGCTGCATGTAGAGCCCCATGTAAACCCAAACCGTCCCACAGGCCGCACGTTGAGTAGCCCTGATTCACGTGTTCAGGCACCACTAACATGATGATCCAGCAAAGGATAGAATTTGTGGATAAAATTAAAGTTTACTAGCTTAATTTTAAAATATTGGTGATCAAGATACACAAATTATCTCAGACTTCTGAGTTGGAAAGGCTCTGAGGCTACAAATAAATTCTATTAACCTATTCTTTGAGGGGATCAACAAACATGTGAATGAGGGTGATCCAGTGGATATAAAATATAGGACTATGTAGCACTTTAAAGATTAACAAGATGGTTTATTAGATGATAACGTAGACTTTAAGCAAAGTAAGCGGTCATCGGGAAAGAGGAAAGATCTTTTCATGGATCAGTAACATTGAACTCTCACAGTTGGAGGAGGTACATAATAGGGGTGTTAAAATGCATTTAAGTAACCGTGTAATCACTGAAAATTTAAAAGTTAAAGGTGGCTCCCCACTTGTACCTGCTCCCACCTGCCCCCTGCTCTGCTGGCTCTGACACACAAGTGCCAGTGCTGGGGAAGGGGACAGGCAGCTCCTCGGGAGCTGGTGCATTAAGGGAGCCAGCTTTTAAGCCGGCTCCCTTCACATACCGGGAGCCTGCATGTAACAGTAAGCCCAGGCTCATCATCAGTTAACCATGTACACAGTTACACTTTCACATCCCTAGTATATGGTGGGGTCCCCTATGAATCTGTACAGTAACCAGCTCTGTTCAATATATTAAAAAATTATCTGAAAAAGGAGGTAAATAGTGACATGGTAAAGTTTGCAGATGGTACTGTGACTCAAGTTAGTTAAGTCCAAAACTGATTGTGAGGTTACAAAGGATCTCACTGAACTGGGTGACCAGTCAACAAAATGGCAGATTAAATTCAATGTTAATAAATGCAAAGTAATGCCCACTGGAAAACATAATCCCCACTGATGGCGTCTAAAACAGCTATTAGCACTCAAGAAAAGGATCTTGGTGTCCTTATGGGTAGTTCTTTGAAAACATCTGCTCAATGTTAAGCAGCAGTCAAAAAAGCTACCAGAATGTTAAGAACCATTAGGAAAGGGATAGATAATAAGGCAGAAAATATATTAACACCACTATATAAATCCATGGTATGCCCACTCTGAATGCTGTTTGCAGTTCTGGTTGCCCTATTTCCAAAAAGAGAACATTAGAATTGGATAAACTACAGAGAAGAGTAACAAAAATACTTTGGAATATGAAAAAGCCTCTATATGAGGAGAAAACTGTTTAGTTGAGCTGGAACTGTTCAGTTTAGAAGAGACTCTAAGGTGTGCGGAGGTATATAATAGAAGACTGTAAAATGATTCATGGTGTAGAGAAAGTGAATAGCAAAGTATTACTTACTCCTTCTCATAACAGAAGAAGTCTTGGTTGTGCTTGCTCTGGAACCACTTCCTGAAATGAAGAGCTTCTGGCAGCACAAGCACTATTTTCCAAGCCTCCGTACTCCTGACTCTCCCTTAATACTTGGAGCATTCCCTGTGTCCACACCTTTATGCACTAAACATTTATGTACTAGACCAGATATTCTCAAGACCAGCTTTTTGCTTAACACACAGCACTTACATACACTTACCATGAAAACAAGAAAAAAGTCAAAGACTTTATTATTCAGATGAGAGTGAATAAGGATATTGGAAAAAATAATTAAATAAAAAACAAACTCATACCAATTAATTTTTTCCATCCATGTGCAGAATGAATTTTATGATGTGCATCAATATTGTGTTAATATATTCATATGTGTGGTAATAGAAACAGAAAAATCTAGATATATGTATTTTAAAAGTTGCCAAAGGGATAATTACTCCAGCAGGGAAGGTCATGTATTTTAGAACTCACTGTTCAAAGAATTAAATTTAAACATATGAAATGAATAGACCAATCAAACTAAAATAACAGCACTTTTGAAAGAATAAAATTGCAGAGAATATATACATGTAGCAGGAAGTACCCAGAAGTAGTAATAACAGCACCACCACCACAAGTATACGTTAGAAGGTGTGTGCGCCAGAGACATTGGTGTTTGTGCTAGCTGCTGGAGAATTCTGAGAGACTGCTTCTGTCTCTTTAAGCCACTCACCATAAGGCTGAGACTACAGTAGCTGCCAGCAGCTGGCCTGCTCCCAGCCCTGTGCCCCCTGTCCTGTTCTGCAGAGATGGGGTAGACGGGCAGGGGGAAGGTGAGGGGTGGAAAAGAAACCCTGTGTGTACGGGTGTGTGCATGAGAGAGAGACAGAGTGTATGTGTATACTGGCAGCTGGGGAAATCTGTGGGTACATCTAAACTACATCCCTCTTTTGAAAGAGGGATGTAAATTAGACATATCGAAATTGCAAATGAAGCCAGGATTTGAATTTCCTGTGCTTCATTTGCATAATCATGTCACGGCGTTTTTTTTATAAAAGCTATTTCGAAAGCGAAACCTCGGTCTAGACGCGGTTCGTTCGAAAAGAAAAGCCTTTTTCGAAAGATCCTGTGCTCCTCAAAAAAATAAACCCCAATGGATTATTTTTTTTGTGCGCTCCTTTATGGTGATTTCCTTTCTCTGTTTACATTTGAATTTGTTTGTAAATAGGCATCCAAGGTGTTAGCTTAAAAGACTTCATTTACATCCCAATTGAGAGAGAGAGATTTCTTACCTCATGTCTGGAGGAATGTTATTGTCACCTTCTGGTGAACTGTTTTTAACTTTAAGAGCATAATTTTCTAATACATATAAAGAACACCTTACATAGTACATATACATACTTTTCACAATGATATTGATGACCAGTGTGACGCCAACTTTCATTTAAGAGCTAAAATGACATTATTCAGTTAACCAGAAAGGGCATACCAGAATCAGGAGTTACTTGTACTCTTCTGCACCCCATTGTCAGTTGACATTAAAAGGTTCTTGGGTCACAGCAGCCCCACTGGATTTCTTGAAAGCTTTCACAGTTTCAAAAAGCTCTTGGCAGCAGTCTGCTATTTGCATCTCCTCTTTTCATAGCTGATAGTAAGCCCTGCTCTCCTATACCTTTACAACTCATGCCCATTGCTAAAGTATCACACTGCTAGTTATTAGAGAGACGAAGGACATAAAGTTAATGCCTTTTATTGGGCCAACTTCTCTGGTGAGAGAGACAAGTTCTTGAGCTTACACCGAGGTGGTGTACCGGTACTGGCCCCTTTATGGCCAGCGTTAAAGTGCTTCCCCTTTTGCTCCTCTTTGCTCCTCCCTCTAGCTGTATGCCTCCTGGAAAAATCCAGCAGCAGTACCACAGAAGCACTGCCAGACACTATTGACAGGGCTGCTAGGCCTGGTGATTTAAATGGAGCTGGGGCTCTCGACCACCACTACTGCCAGCCAAAGCCCAGGGCTCCTGGCTGCTGCTGTTGCAGCCCTGGGGCTCCTGCCACCTAAACAGCCAGCATCAAGGACTGGCTGGGTAAGTCTGGTCCCCTGCCCTGCCCATTCTGGGGGCACTGGGCCACTCTCACACCTTGCCCAGGAGGACCTCAGTGTACCAGTAAGTCTGTTCACTTACTTTCACCCCTGCACAGAGCCCTTCTTGAGCCCTGTGAAAGCTCAGGCACTAGTCTCTCTCACCGATAAATTAGTTCAAAAAAATATATTACTTCACCCATCTTCTCTCTAATATCCTGGGGTCAACATAACTACAACTACATTGCATACACTGCTGATTAGTCTAACAAACTGGTGAAATGGTGTATCCCAAGTTGCATACTGCTTGCTGTCTCTTCCACAGGATGCAGTTCTTTCACACACTATAGTTAGAAATTCATCTCTCTCACACACACACACTTTAGTCTCTTACACACACACACACACACATACACTCTTTGTGCTCTAATATAGGCACTTTCTACTAACTGCTAACATGAAATATGTCCATGTAAGCATACACAAATACTTGGACATTTCATATTCTATTTCTGCAATGTGGTTGTACCTGTGTTTGTCCCAGGATATTAGACACACAATTTGAGGGAAGTAGTATCTTGTGTTGGACCAAATGTTTGTCTGTCTCTCTGTAAAATACTGTCTTGCCCATCTTTTCTTTCTAATATTCTGTTTCTATCATGCAAAAATAGTGAAATACTCTCTAAGGGTACGTCTACACAGCAATTTTATTTTGAAATAAATAGCATTATTTCAAAATGATTTAGTCCGCCTCTACTCAGCAGGCAGATATTTCAAAATAATGTCAACATATTGTCAAACTAAGGGCTTCTTACTTTGACTCTTGTAATTCTCAATGTATGAGGAGTAAGGGAAGTCAGAAGGAGAGTACTCTATTTTGAAATAAGGGATGTGTAGATGCTCCCAATTTTGAAATCAGCTGTTTCAAAATAATCTATGCAATTGACGTAGCTCAATTTCCATAGCTTATTTTGAGTTAAGCCCTGCTGTGTAGACGTACCCAAAGACAACAAACTTTTGGTATCAGAAGTCCAGGCTTAGTAATTCACTGTAGGATCAAGCAAAATGAGAAGTTGAGCTTCAAAGAGACTGAAAAAAATCTTATTAAAGTGTGCATTGTGATCTTTAAGACAGAACAAAGGGAACAGAGAAAAAGCCTACCCCTATAAACTTTCTTCTGCTGCTTTAGTCCGAAAGTGAATCAAATGCTGATTTACATATATTTTGTGTTCTCTAACCTTCAAGCATTTTAATATTGTAATAATAAGTAAATGCAAAAGTTGTAAACAAAATAAAAGTAAATATTCATCTAAACGTCAGTTAAATACTTCAGTAGTTCAGCTGTGTTACTAAACTGTTGCTGTGTATAAGTCTCTAAAAATAGAAAGCAAAGTCTATTCATTTTTAAACAATATGTAACATAGAAACTTTCAAATCTAGTAAATCAGTAATTTTTAATTAACATGAACAATGCAACACATTTTTAATTAAGGTAACCCATAAAATGGATTGGTTATTAATGTGAAAGGCAAGAGATCCATATTGATACTCAGCACAAGACTGTTCAGTTTTGAAAAGCAAACCAGAAAACAAAGTAGATCTTAATTCTGCAGTGCACCTCAGAGAAATTATAAATGATTAATTAACTTATAATAAAAAATTAAATTTCTGTTACTGAACTAATTACTATACTCAGCATATCTTTTGAAAACACAATGTGGAGTCCTGTGGCATTTTTAAGACTGACAGATTGATTTGGATATAAGCTTCTGTGGGTAAAACCTACTGCATCAGATGCATTCAAAAGTGTACATTTCATTATTTTCAGTTGCTAGCCTCCATGCAGATGAGTGATATGTCTCTAGAGTACATCGTGCATTAGTAACAAACTTGGACAATAACCTATCTTAAAAATGCATAGAGCCCAGCAAATTTGCAGATATCTGTGGGTATTCACATCCGCAGAATGGATAGAAATATCCACAGCTCATTTTTATGATGCGGAGATCCGTGGCTCATTTTTGTGTATACGTATGCAGGTCTCTAAAAATTAAGTTCTCCAGCTCTTGCACTACAAAATTTCCCCATGAGGTAAAAGCACAAGGATTGCAGTACTGTGCATGAAATATGGATTCATTTTTTTTTCATAGTCTCATTTTTATGTGAAAAATGTTTAATTTTTATTACAGTTCTTTTTGTGTAAAGTGGAGCTAAATGATGAGCTACCATAAATTCCTTAAAACTTGTATATGCAATATTTATTGGTATTTTATCCTTTATCAGTGTCAGCATTATCTTTCATCATGATTATTTTTCAGTTTTTCTTTTGAACCCCGTGTCATTTAGTGTTTTTTCCCTTATTTTTCCATTGTGTTGCAATTTCAGAACATGTAACCTCTAATGCCAGCGATAGTGAAAGTAGTTACCGTAAGTGTTTTAAGTTCCTTCTTTATTTTCAACTTTCTTATTGTCTTTAAGTTTGGATTTGTCTTAGTATTTTTTCCAGATATTTATTTGATAAATAAAATAAGAACTTCTAATCAGCTGCTATTGAAATCTGCATTTATCAGCTCAGATGAATTGCTGAGATTTTGTGTTTGTATTATGCTTATGACTTAACAATAAACTTAAATTGAATCAAAATCAACATGGTTAAATTGAAGTCTGAGGGTCCACTTGATCTTATGCACTCGTTTAACTATATCAGTTTAAAATGTTCACCCTTGGTTAAACTGATACAACTTTCTCCAATAGACAAACCTTTAGTAAGTTTTGTGCTCACACTGTTAGCTGATATATGTGAAATATTCTTTTTTTTTTTTTCCAAGTGTGATCGGTAAATATCTTTAAGGAAAGTGAGTCAGTGTTTTGTTTTGTTTTCAGTTTTTATTTAGTAGTTTTGTCAAATATGGCTGTTTATTTAGAGTTGTCCTCAAAAGCTGACTAGGACTTAGCACCAGAATTAATGTTGTTGAATGAAGTCCCTGCACTGTGTCATTCTCATTGCATGATGCATTTTAAAGACTAGACTGAGTTTTTAGGTATTATTATTTTTATTATAATAGCATTTATATAATAGGATTTATGGCCCCATTCTTCTATGTGCTGTACAAAGTAAATGCTGTTCCAGGCTTTAATCCTGCAGTTTATTTCATGTGGATAGATGCCCCCAACAAAATTACTAATACTCCAAGCAGGCACAACAGCGTCCCAAACAGTGGTTTGCAGGGTACAGTAGAACTGATAGATGAAACTGTTCTCTGACAACTATAAATTCTGGAAAGGTATTTTAGGAACTATTATTGCCAGAGTTTGTACAGAAAGATAAGGGAATGGGTCAATAACAGATACATGAGTTTGGAAGGTTTGCATCCTTTTCATAGATGCTGCCAAGTCAAGGGATATTGCTGTACCCTTGAATGAATTTGAAAAGAAACTATTAACAAAAAGTGACACAAGTCTTTGTATTGTAGAAACAGAGTAACACATAATACAAACAGCAAGGATGAAGAAAAATTAACTCATTAGTAATTGGTAATGTTAATCACATGCTTATACTTTAAAAACTGGAGTTATTTTAACCTAACAATATCCTTTGGAAGCTGCTGTTTTCTTAAGTTTTCTAGTTACTCATCAGTGCTTCTATTTTGTCCTTATGGTAGATGGTTCGTTATGTGTGGGTTTTATTCTTCTTTGGCAAAAACACTATCTATGCATATTATAAATGTTTTGTGGACTTGACAAAATGTGTAATTTTAAGCAATGATTTTATTAAAATTACTTTTTTAATTTCTTCTTACTGCTGTCTAAAATGAAAGTTATCTTGATAACAGATGAGTATGGTTGTTCAAAAGGTCCATTTTATTAATATCTATTTTTCTAAAGTGTTCAACAATATTGACAATATATACTTTTTGCTCTCAACCAATAAGTTGCTTATAATTGCTGTTGCTGTCTGTTTATTGTTTTGCTTAATTAATTTTGACTTTATAGCAAAGTGACTTCTTTTAAAAAGTATTTGATTGCTTATTAGATGGAGTCCCTCGTAGCTGAGTAGCTAGTTGAGTGACTTTGTTTCTCTCTCTAGCCTAAAAGAGGTTCTGAAAGTATATACTGTCTTTCTCTAAATCCATTGTATGAGTTACTTTTTGAGATGTTCAGTTATCCAAGTTGCATGGTTCTTGTCTTAATTTGTAACGTTTCATAATTTCATCTATAAATTGATGTGCATTCATCTATTGCTATAATATCCTTGGACCACAAAGTAAATAGTCTAAAATAAGACAGTTCAAGTGATGGTCCCTATGTGTATTCCATATGTGTGTGTCTATGCACTTGAGTCCAGAAGTTCAAGCAAGCAGTGTCCATTGGTCCAGAAATATGCAGTAAATCTCCTTGTGCTCTAAACTAAGACATAAAGGGGCAGTGCAGATCAACATCTCTTCTGTTTCTCATTAGTGCCACATGACCTGAATTGGAATTCCATGTCCAATTCAATCTTCCTCTTTTGTGAAACTGTAATACAATAGTTTAGTAGTTAAGTTTACACCATTAGTTTTAGTTACTCCACACTCTAAAATGCTTTTCTTTCTGAAAAGGGATTATGCCCATAGTTCCAGGGTTCAAGAACTGTCTCCCTTGTCCTCATACCTTTTCCATCAAATATGACCACTGGTACTGCTTTTATTGCCTTGGGATATTGCCACAAAGTGCAGCATCTGTCATTCTCTCCCGCCCCCTGAACTTGGGAGGGATAAGAGCTCTGCAGAATCACTTCATGGAGCAGCTATGAAACCCCATTCAGATTCAAGCTGGGGAAACACCCCACATCCACCCTATACATCAGCCTCAGACAATGAGTAGTGCCCCTCACAGCACAAGCTCCAGAATAGAGGCAAAAATTCCTAACACCTCTCACAAGAGATGGGGACGTGAACATAATCATATTTCTGTCCATATAACTTCTGAGAGGCTTCCTTTCTGTCTCTAAGTCAGTGAGCCCTCACATGTGGGTTCAAAGCAATTAGGCCCATATTAATCTTCTGCCCAAGGAGGAAAGGCAAGAAAGAAGAAATTTGTTATTGATTCTGGCTTGGCTTCATCCTACAAACGTAAAGAGCAGTATACACAATGCATATTTTTGTGATTTTAGTGCTTGGTTCCCATTCAGTGGCTCCAACATCCTCCATGCAGGAACCCCCAAACACTAGATCTGTGGATGACTTTGATCCACTGGTACCCTCCTCAGGGGGGACACACACACAGATACCAAGGAGGGCCAAAACTGTCACCTCATGGGACGGTGTCTTTGCTTTGCCCTGTGCACGGTTTGTCTTGCTGTCAGGTCCAGCTCTTCATAAGAGACATCCCTACCCCCAAAAAACCATCCTTCTAGCCCCAAGATGTCTATAACGAATGCCCTGACACTGATGTTGCCAGTAAAACGGGTGCCTGTCACTCCTGATGAGGCTTCCCTCCACACCCAAAAGGGGAGCAAGCCTGATCAGAGATCCAAGAAGCAATTGGAATTTCCCATCTCCTTCCAAATATTTTTTTTTCCAAGAGACTGCTGGTACCCAATAACATTGGTTCCTCCCACTCTAAAATCATAGAATACTAGAACTAGAAGGGACCTTAAGAGGTCATCAAGTCCAGTCCTCTGCTGTCACAACAGGACCAAGCACCATCTAGACCAGGGCTACTCAACTTTAGAAGCTCTGGGGGCCACAGTGATACTCACAGCACATGCCGAGGGCCGCAACTTAAGTGTGGTTGCATGTACACGCAAATATATGCAAATACCTTATTTCAGCCTGATGGGCATGAATACGAAGATTAAGGCAAGACTACATAACATGTAAGCCCCATTTAAGTCAGTTCTGCAGATATTAATAAAATGCAATATTTACCAAGTTTCTACCCATATGATAACACTTTTAATGAGAAATGACTGTCTAGGAATTTAACTTCTAAAACACATATCAACAGAAGAGCATTATATTGACTCACCATTGTGGAGTGTGTTCCCAGTGGAGGCCATGTTCAAAGGATCCCACCTGCGAGCTGCATGTTGAGCCCCGCGTAAACCCAAATCGCACTGTGGGCCACAAACAGGCCGAGGGCTGTGTTGAGTAGCCCTGAATTAGATCATCCCTGCTAGATTTCTGTCTAACATGCTCTCAAATACCTCCAATGATGGAGATTCCATAACCTCCCTAGGCAATTTATTCTGTACCACCCTAACAGGTAGGACATTTTTCCTAATGTCCAACCTAAACCTCCCATTCTGCAATTTAAGCCCATTGCTTCTTGAAACCTGGTGGGATGGGACGCATGATTGGAATGTTGGTATGGAACGGTACAGCTTGCTCAGGAAGGACAGACAGGGAAAAAAGGGAGGAGGGGTTGCCTTGTATATTAAAAATGTACACACTTGGACTGAAGTGGAGATGAATGTAGGAGATAGCTGTGTAGAGAGTCTCTGGGTTAAGCTAAAAGGGGTAAAAAACGAGGGTGATATCATGCTAGGAGTCTACTACAGGCCACCTAGCCAGGTGGAAGAGGTGGATGAGGCCTTTTTTAAACAATTAACAAAACTATCCAAAGCCCAAGATTTGGTGGTGATGGGAGACTTCAACTATCCAGACATATGTTGGGAAACTAACACAGCGAGGCACAGGCTATCCAATAAGTTTCTGGACTGCATTGGAGACAACTTTCTGTTTCAGAAGGTTGAAAAAGCTACCAGAGGAGAAGCTGTTCTGGATTTGGTTTTAACAAATAGGGAGGAACTAGTTGAGAACTTGAAAGTGGAAGACAGTATAGGGGACAGTGATCACGAAATAATAGAGTTCATGATCTTAAGGAAAGGTAGAAGGGAGACCAGCACAATTGAGGTAATGGATTTCAGGAAGGCAGATTTTGATAAGCTCAGAGAACTTGTAGGTAAGGTCCCATGGGAAGCAAGACTGAAGGGAAAAACAACTGAGGAGAGTTGGAAGTATTTCAAAGGGACGTTGTTAAGGGCCCAAAAGCAAACAATTCCGCTGTGTAGGAAAGATAGAAAATATGGCAAAAGACCAGCTTGGCTTAACAAGGAGATCTTGCACGATCTCAAAATAAAAAAGGAGTCATATAAAAAATGGAAACTAGGACAACTAACAAAGGATGAATATAGGCAAGCAACACGGGAATGCAGGGGCAAGATTAGAAAGGCAAAGGCACAAAATGAGATCAAACTAGCTACAGGCATAAAGGGAAACAAGAAGACCTTTTATAAATACATTAAAAGCAAGAGGAAGACCAAGGACAGGGTAGGCCCACTGCTTAGCGAGGAGGGAGAAGCAGTAACAGGGAACTTGGAAATGGCGGAGATGCTCAATGACTTCTTTGTTTCGGTCTTCACCGAGAAGTCTGGAGGTGTGCCT